GAAATATTTTCGTTTGCTTTACTTTTAATAAATAGAGATGTTTTCATAAGTAGCTGTATTTAGTCCAGAGTCTTGGAGCATTTGTTTACTCTCAGATTTTTGTACTGATGCAGTTACTAATGTGTGCAGAGGTTAATATTAAAGCTCTGGCAGCAAGTACAATGGAAGGAGGGGTGCGGTGCAAAGACGTAGTGACCTAGAAGAGACTTAAACTTTGTTATCTAACATTGCATATGTTAGAAAATACCATTTGCATCAACTCTCCTTACTTCGATTTAGACTAATATTTACAAGAAAGTCTCTTACACAGCTTGTATTTGGAAAATAAATTTCTTGGGCTTGAGGCATTAAATTTTATATACTAAAATTTCACTGCCATTGGGAAGAAAGGGTGTGCGGTTTTTTGAAACAATGTTATCTGACCGTAGTGTTTGCTGGGTGTTTCAGAGTAAAATGAAACCACTTGAGCTGTATTACTAACATTCTTGCCAGAGCAAACTATAATTGGAAAATTTTTCCTTTTAAGACAGCTGAAGACCTTTTCTGGTGTGCAGTTCCTGTACTCATGCTAAATGTGAGAATAAGTTAGGACTGGGGAAGAGAAGAATTTAGTGGTAAAGACATAATCTGAAGCCAAACAGGTTGGAGAAGGAAGAATGCCTCAAGCTCAGTCTTGCAAGGTGTTGGGCACATTAGCTTCAGATTCATCAAAATGCTTATCTCCAATTTTGCAAGTAGTTCAGTTGAAATCAGTGTTATTATTCATCCTTTAGTGAAGCGTAGTGAAGCATACTCGTTCTCAGTGAAGCATATGCTTATGTGCTTTTATGGATTTGGACTAAGTGGTGTAGGACATGGTTGGCTCAAGCTCTTGAAAGGACGAGGTTTCGCCATGATTCTTACTAAGAGGAATCATTGTACATTGGCTGTCATTATTCTAACATTAGTGGCATAAAATCAAGTAGGAAAAAATGCGAGCAAAATGCTTCAGCTGAATTTGAGGGTTAATAAAATATCTTGTAGAATGCTTTATTTGCTTAAAATTTATTTTGCATATCACACGGCATGAATGTATTACCTTACCAGTTAAACCCTTAATGTGCTAATGGTTATACAAATTCACAGTCAGAAATTAATTATTTGCCATAGGAGTTTGCAAACTTGGTGCAAACAAAACCAGATTGCAAAGCGGGGAAGAAATTGTACCCAATAACTGGAAACACGCTGAGTAAGTGCAGCAGTTTTCTTCTAGTAATTGTTGCAGAGCTGTTATCCATCAAAGCTGTTAATGCCACGCTAAATTGTTGTATTTGTATGGTAAGCTTTCCATAACTGCCATTGTTTTGAGAAGGTGGGAAAGAGCTCGTAAAAGATCAAGACTGATTTTTTCGATCATGTTGGAACTTCTGAATAACTGCTGAGTTACAACCCAGCTCCTGTAGGAATTCAAAGGGCTTGGCTGGTGTCTGAATCGGGAACATCACTGATCGGATATTTTTTAAAAAAAAATTTTTTTTTTTAAGTTCAAAGGCTTTTTTTATTTTTAAGGCTTTTTAAAGACTTACATTTAAGTCATACCCTAATGTTTTCTTTACGAGTATATCCTCTGTTGCAATCTCTTAGAGATTAAGGTACTATTTCCACACACTATATCATTTGAGGAACTAAAGGGAGAAGAGAGTAATATTCGAACTGTGTTTTATATATAGTTGCAAAATACTTTAAGTATTTATAATAGTGTATCGATCCTAATAAGTATATTGGTGTACTTCACATTTTATAGTCTCTAAACCTCTTCTAAAAATTTAACCATCATCTTCTGGTTAAAGCAATTAAAATATTTCATAGTAAAAAGGCTGATAATGCATCATTCAGTGTGACATTATTCAGGACAGATCCGTGCATTTCTTTGTAAGTTGCAGTATTCTTCTGTAGGCCCTTAATCAGAATTATGAAACAAAGATACTTAATATTCCTTTGTGGAAATGTCACAGCCCCTATTTATAAACAACTTCTTTCTTGGAAGAAAGTTCAGCTTTGTTTCAGTGACTTCTTGGGAAGTGGGTGGAATGAGGTTGAAGGGAGAACTACACTTTCTATCATCAAAACCTTTTTTCCAGTAACTCTGTCTTACCAAGAACTGGCAGTCTGTCTGTGAGGATATACCTGCAATCATGGAAACATACTCTTTATTGGGAGGAGGGGGGAGAAAACCTAGATGATCTCATTTTGGACCCTGTGAGAATGCTGTCTTTTGAAGAAGATGTTTTTGTCAGGTTGGACAGGGCTCTGAGCAACCTGATCTAGTTGAAGATGTCCCTGCCCACGCTGGGGGGGTTGGACTAAGATGACCTGTAAAGGTCCCTTCCAACCCAAACTATTCTATGATTCTGTTCTATGATTCTATGATAATATCTGTGATAAATTTTGTCAAGAGCTGAGAACTGATTTTAAACTCATTTGTAGTCTTCAGCTATGATCAGATTACACCAGTTTTGGAATTTAGCCTTTCAGCTGTCGAAGTCAATGAAGCATTGCTTGTCATGGGCATGTTTTACAAAAACATAAACACAGTGTATTTTATATTGGTGTAATGTGTGCATATCCCAGGTTTTGCAATGTTTTATCAGCTGTAGAAAGTAGTAATTGTTTTCTGATTGGGGGGGGGTGTGTGATTGTTTTTGTTTGTCTTGCATTCCAGTAGTCTCTTGTTCTACCTGTTTTCTGGGTCTTCAGCATCTTTTCCAATTTTCTCTTTTTTTTTTTTTTTTTTTTATTCTTACAGCCTATCAAGATCTTAAATAGCCATTTATTTGAAGATTTAGAAATATTTATCTTTGTATGTTCCTTCCCTCCTTTAAATGTGCCAGTGGAAACCTGGCTTGATTTTTACTATGAGTGGAGGAAAAAAAATACAAATCACATGAGTAGAGTGTTTCTGCAGCATCATTCCTCTAATTTCAGATGTACAGCATGAAAGCAGCTGCAGTCAGCTGACAGCTTGTGGTCATGTTCAGATATATGTGGGGAAGGGGCGTGCTGTTTTAAATGCATAATAAAGTCGTCGTTTCGTCACCAGGAAGCAGAGCTTGTAGCAGCCCAGGGGAAATGAGAGGCAGTAATGTTGCTGTAGTGGAAGGGAAGTCCTGTTACCTAGAGCCAGAGCTCTTTGCAGGCAGCTGTAGGGATGCACCGAGGCAAAATGGCACAAATGTATTTTGCTTTCTGTAAGGGTAGAGGATAAATGCGAGGAGCAGATGAAAGCCTGAGATGGATATGCTCACAAGGAGAGTGAAGTTTTTTTTCTTATGCTCTACTGCCCTTTACCTCTGTTGGTACCTTCCAGTGAAATCAGTATAGTTGTATTTTTAGCTTGCTGTATCCAGCATCAATATGACAACATAATTCTGTCTTTACATCTGTAAGCAGCTTTTACTATGTTTTCCTGTTTTCTGCCAGCTGCAGTTTACAAAGGATGTCAGAGCACTGGTAAGAAATGTACAGTAGCCATTTCTCTGATGGTTTTGCAAGGCATGTTTTTCTTAATGATTTGTGAGAAGCAAGAATATGAAACAGCAAGTTTGTTGGAAATGAGCTGGATAGTCTGAGCTGAATTTTCTTCATAATGCTAATCACTTAATTTTTGGTTTGTGCCTGTGTTATTTGGTCGGTTTTCTCTCAGCGTGCTTTAATATTTTGCACTTCACATGCTCGGTGTAACATTGCAGCAGTATTGTAAATGCCTCGCCCTCCTCTGTACTTTGCTCTGTATTAATTTTATGGCTGCACTTGGGCTTTTATAACCTGTCTAGGTTCAGACAGGGCACATTAATATTCTGGAATTCAGCATGTTATGATTTGGACAGGAAATGCTGTGATATGATACCACGCCTAAGCGTGTAAAAGCCCTGAGAAATCATTTTAATCTGCTGTTGCATTGGCAGGCTCTGCGTTGGCTCTTTATTTCATTATGTTTAAACTGAACGAAGTCATGCTAAAGTTTTTCAATAATAGGATATTGTTTAAGTATGCTGTATGCTTCTCATTGAATTATTACTTTGAATGTTCTGTTAATTTCACAATGATAAATGCTGCTTTTCTAAAAGGCTACAGAAACATACTAAGTGTATTATAACCGTTTTTTCTCAGGAGTCAGGCTCTTAAAAACAAAGGTGCAAATAAATGCGCTAAGGAAATTAATTTGAGATTTTAGTTTGTGTTTTAATAGTGTGTGGACAGTAGTGGGTATGTATGAATTTTCATACTGTTTGTGCCTTGAAGTTAAAAATGTTACATATTAATATTTTTGCAGTGAGATTTGTGTGCTATGTACTGGCTGTCTCCTGTAAAATGTAAGATGACTTAGAGGGTGTTGGCTCACAACAAAGATGTTACTGCTGCAATTTATTCATTTTATGTTTAGGAACAGTAGCTTTTATGTAGAAGACATCTTAGAGGAGCGTATGTATGTATATTTGTGTACATTTCATATGTACTACATTAAGTGAACAGAGTTCTTTTATAGAACAGAGTGAATACAGAATTTTCTAGTGCTAGTTGAATTTATTGTGCAACATTTTAACCTGTCAATTGCTGTGAAATTCTGGTTTCCAGCAATGTGAAGCTTAAATGGGAAGAATGTGTGAAGCATCATGTTAGAAAGCAAAATTAAGGGGGAGAAAAATACTGTGTTTTGTGCTTATGGATTTTTGGGAAACCTGCCTCAGTGCCCTACCTGCAGTATTTCCTAGAATTGGTCATCAGTTCAGTTTTTTAATTGTTGAGGGAGGGAATGTATGTAATGATTTTGCTTGTTCTGTTTCTGCTCACTAAGGGGATGGAATGCTATTTTTATCTTTTTAACTAACATTTTATCTAAAATGATAGTGCGAATTTTGTACTTGTGTTTCCTCTCTTGAAGCTTGATCGTGCAAATGCTAGATGGTGAACTTTTCCATCTCCCTCACTGCTGAATTACTCACTTAATCTTCTCTCCACAGGCGTATTCCCAAGATGCCTACCTGAAAGGCAACGAAGCCTACAGTGGTAATGCCCATAATATACCTGAACCACCACCAATATGTTATCCACGCCTGACATCCACAGCTTCTGTTATGGCACAAGCTGGTGACAAGCTATCTTCTGACTTCTCGCTGGGGAAACAGCAAGTCAGTAGACCAGTACGGGCATTGACACAGCCAGAGAGGGCCTACAGAATGGAAATACAAGTGCCTCCATCACCAACAGACATTGCAAAATCAAATACAGCTGTGTGTGTTTGCAATGAAACTGTAAGGACTGTTATTGTGCCTTCTGAGAAGGCTGTAGATTTGCCATCTTGCAGAAATAATCATGTCGGTCCATCACACAGGACAGAGGAAGTAAGGTATGGCTTAAAAGAGCAAACCAGTCTAAAAGCACGGACCACGTCACCGTCTTCTTCGGTGTCCACTGCCATTGTACTTCCCCAGACTCCAATAACAAGGCCAGTTGATCCAGCTGGAACACTAAGTAAAGCTTCAAATTATGTAGTATGTCCAGAAGGAATCCCAAGCACTAGACCTGCTCAAGCCACAGACTCGCCCTCAGTCTCTACTAATCATTACAGTTCTCCAACATCCCACCAGCATATAGACTGGAAGACCTATAAAACTTACAAAGAGTACATTGATAATAGACGCATGCACATGTATGGCTCCCGAACAATACAGGAAAGGTTAGATAGTTTAAGAGCAGCTTCTCAGAATACAACTGATTATAATCAAGTGGTGCCAAATCGCACTGCTTCACAGGTACGGCGCAGGAGCACCTCTCATGACAGGGTTCCACAGTCTGTTCAGATCCGACAGAGAAGCGTATCCCAGGAAAGACTTGAAGATCCCGTGTTGATGAAAGAGTGGCCACGAAGTGCTTCACAAGATACTCTAACTTCACCTTCAGTTAATGCTAGGAGTCACAGGGCTCGGTCATGGGATTATCTCAGCAAACAGGGTGAAGTGCTAGAAAATTTTCATTCTGAGAATCTGATTGCAGATACTAATGGAGATAGGAGAAAAACTTACAAGTGGACAGGGTTTACTGAACAAGATGATCGGCGAGGTATTTATGAGAGATCCAGACAGCATGCATTTCATATGTCCCTTCGAGGTCAAAATTTTTCTATGGCTCCGAGTGCTTGTATTTCAGACAACAGGAGAACAGGTAGTAGAGCTTCTCTGCCTGGTTCTCATTTTCAGAAAGTTCCACCAGATATAAAAATGTTACAGCCTTCCCGAGATTTGCAAACTCCTGGGGGAGTTTCAAAACCTACAACTGTTTCACAAGAGAGATTGTCTCTCACACCAGCCAGAAGTTCTAAAAGTAGCTCTTTGAAGAACTCTGTTCCCTATGCAGCAAAACCATCGTTTGCCCTTAACCAGGGCCTGGATGCTGTTGCCAGCAAAGACCAAAGAACAGTAAATCACTTGCATCAGAGTGGTCTGTTAAACCAACAGTCAAGGATCCGAGCAGAAGGTGCCCCAGATCACAAAACAGAAACTGGCAAAACCATCCAAACCTCCTCTCTGTCTCCAGCTTCCCCCAAACTTGTTCAGCCAACAAGTGAGAGTTCAACTACCTCTGACAACGTAGATGGTTCCATCAGACAAAAGATTCATGATTTCGAAAGGGAAGATGTCCATGAGTCTGAAACTCTGCAAACGGATGTTCAGGAAAATGACAAAGACACAGTGGTCATGCGGGACAAATCACCCTCTGGCCACCAAACTCCACAGCCTTTGAGGCATCAGTCCTACATTCTTGCTGTAAATGACCAAGAGGCAACCTCGGACACTACCTGTTGGTTACCTAATGATGCTCGGAGAGAAGTCCACATAAAAAGAATAGAAGAAAGGAAAGCATCAGGTTCCAGCCCACCTGGTGACTCCTTGGCTTCTATTCCATTTATTGGTGAGTTGAACTATTCCAGTGTGCGTAAAATGCTTTCCTCTGCTAAAGATGATGGAGAGCACCATGCCAGGTAGCTGACTGCTGTTCCTGTAAACCCTGAGGTTGGGGGGCACGGGAGTTCTTTTCTCACCTAGAGTAATATTAGGTTGGTAAAACTAAAAATATTCTTCAGTGGAGGAAAAAAATGTTCTCTTTTGTTTGGAGTCCTGGAGGATCAGTGTAAAAAAGTCTACAGTGATTTAATATTTTTCTAGAATTTTCCTTAACCCCCTGGAGAAGTCTACATTATATAAATACGTCTGGTTATCACTCCACATAATGCTCTGATGTCATGTATATGGCCAACTAGCATTTGCAGCACCTTTCAAAATATTTTTACTTCTGTAGTATAAAATATATTTGGAATCCAGTAAAGAGAGAATATGGATGCAAATCCATATGAGGGTGATTTGTGAAAAAAAGTTTGTCAGCTGAATAGGTAAGGTGAAAGCTTTCTGAGACAGATATGGGATAGAGGAAAGCTGTTTCAGGTGAAAGAATGGCAGTAAAATGAAGTGAGTTTGCAAGTAAAGATGCTAATGTAGGTATGAATATTTGTGGAAGCGGAATGTGAGAAGGCACAAAGATTTGCCTGTGGGCTGTGACACAAACAGGATTGGAATTACAGGGATCTTACAGAAAGGGGGCTGAGCACTTTTCAGATAATTTGGAAGAAAAGAGGAACTCATGGAAGGCTTGTAAGTAGTAGGAAAAAAAAATTTAAAATCCAGTTTTGGATATGTGAGGAATTGGAATCATCTGCTGAAGAGAGAGTTTCAGTGGCAGAGCATTTCTGTTCTACTCAAGTAGACAATGCCTGTGTCGTCTTTGCCCTACTGTTATTGTTGAGTTGGATTTTCGTTTGTTGTGGCTGGTTTAATCCTTTGGAGTTTAGATGTCTAAGGACCGTTTTCCACATGGGTTGATTTATACGTGGCTGTGTGTTTTTGAATTTAGTATAAGAAGTATTTAGAAAATACTGAATTTTGTTTCTCAAACTCACATATGTGAAAAACAACTCTTAATACTCTTCAGGTTTTTTTACAGGTTAGGTTGAGTTACAGATACGTTGTCTTAGCACAATTGTCTTCTATTGTGGATCTGCAGCAGTGATTTTTCCCCTAGAATTATCTATAATATCTGCTACTAGTTTAAAGTAAATAACCAAAAATAGTGAAGAAGCTTTGTGTGCATCAAAGAATGGAAATCATACAAAAGATACAATAATTCTGTTCTTTTGACAGAACTTTGTTAAGATGTAACAAAAATGCTTTCTTAGCTAGCAGATGGTTTTTATATTGGGTTTTCCTTTTTGAATGGGAGTTGTATAGATTTTTTTGATTACTGGATGCATCAGTATCCAGTGTAATTTTGGATTCTTCTTTAGACCCTGTCGATCTGTCTTGAAGGATTAGTACAAGTTTGTAAGGCATGTAACTGGTCTTTGTGCAGGGCTTTTTAATACTATGCCTAAAATCAACATTGGGCACTTGATTTAAATTATGTGCGGTATTTGTACTCACTTAGGAGTGCTTGCTGGGAGTTTTCTAATCCCATACAATTTAAATGTTGTTTAAAAGTCAGATCAAGATTGTCAAAATCAAGCCCAACCTTTTCTACTCAATCTCCTATCTTGATTTTGACAAAGATTTGCCATGAACCCTTATTCATGTGGCTTGCTTCCAGATGTTAGAGAAATGTGATGACTAAAGTTCAAAGAAGCCTTAAACGTGGCAATTGTACTGCATTCTGGTAGCAGCTGAGCAGTTCAGAAGAAACAAAATTGTAACTCTCCACTGCAGCCTCTTGGCATAACACCACATGGGATTGTGTGAATTCTTACGAGCTCCTTAGCCTCTTGGACTGAAACCTCCTGAATGCTCCAGAAATATTAAAAAGTGGTGCTGCTAGAGCATGGGCACAGTCTCAGCCAACACAGTACTTGTGGCTGTCTTCCTAGCAAGAAATTCTTGTGCCGGTACAGGTGCTGTGGAAAATTTCCACCACAGCTCCAGCACACTGAAGATGACATAACCCTCTCTGAATAGGAAGAGCATCAAATGCCATTAAGAGTGGGCATCTTCCGAAGTTAGAATTAATATGCATGATTCAAACTTTGCTTGTTCCACTATCATTATGCCTAATTACAGCTTCACTTGTTAAAAGCCGTACTTAATCAGGCGGATAAAACCCTAGATCTTCTTTGAAACTCAGTTAAAGGCTATTTAACTCTTCTGAAGGAAGATCGCTTGGATTTTTCTGTTTTGTGTTTTGATTTGGGATTTTTCTTTCTCTTTTTTTTTTTTTTTTCTTTTCTGTCTGATTATTGAGAAGGATGTTACTTTGAATAAAGACGTACCTTGCTGTTGGCAACCTCTCTGCTTTCCTTATGTGTACGTCAGCATAATTGGTTTTTGCAGTATTAGGTTTTATTAGATATGGTTCATTTCATAAATGCACTTACTGAAGTTATTTGTACAGTAGATCTTTAGAGTAGTGTAAAAATGTAAATTTGGCGGGAATAAATATCTTCCAAGGTCACATATTATTGCCATTTTAAATACTTCATGGTGTGTTTATTTTTGTTACCACTTTCTGCGCATTAAAAAGTAGTAGGTATGGGCAGACCGTATTTGGTAAAAATTCAGCCAGGAACAATTGGCTTCTGCAGCAGTATTTTGTGACTAACCTGCTCTTGAGAATAACACATCATCAGGATGATATTAGAGTATCTCTTTGTAAGTAGCATGGTGCCCTGCACCACAAACAGAATTCCAAGGAGAGTTTTCATCGAGCTTGCTTACGGCAGATTCTTGGAGGGATTATGTAGATTGCTGAAGAACTGCCTTTTGACACTAGTCCTTTCACAAAAAGCTGTTCTGAAACAGGGAGATCAAATTTTGGTTTGCATTTGCTAATAGAAATGAGAGATTTGTCCAGAGCAAACCTAGTAGGTAGATGTAATATCTTTTATAGGAGAAATTGATTTATTTGAAAAAATTAGTCAAGATATTGTGTGCTCAAACTCTTCTTCAGGTAAGCAGATGTTCTTGGGGGATGAGGAAGCTGCCGGTTTTACAGAAAAACACACCCTGGTACTGCAGGCTTCAGTACTTTCCATGTGCTACTAAATGCAGGGTATTGTGGTTAGCTTGGAAAGCTGCTGTTTCTATTTCCAAAGAAAGGCTCTGTTCTTGAAATGCTCTCTATTGTTTCAAACTATACCAGTTAGTCTAATGAAAGGTTATTCCTTTTACCTAGAAACAGTCTCACCTGTTCTCTACACTAGTAAAAATACCATTATCTCTATCAGTGACTATATTAGCAATTGTGGTGCTTAATGTACATTTTTTCAGACTTCTAATTTGTACACAATTTCTCTGTTAGAGAACAGCAAATGATAAATTTCTGACCTACTGGGTAATTTTGGATGTGTTAAGCTGCACTGGGATGGAAATTAGAATGCTACTTAACATTTTTGTAACTGTCGAGAAAAGGTTGATTCAGAATACAGTTACTTTAAATACATTTCTTAGATATAGATGTCTAGTGTGCATGTCTGAGATTTGCAGCTAGCTTGAAACTATTTTTTTCCTTCTTACACCATTTGTTGTAGAGTAAAAAGCAATTAAAAAAAAGGATAATCCAACTCCCAGATTGAGTTGAATGAACTACCCATATAAGTGAAATGAAGAAACTGCTTCAATACTTAACCTGATTGCAGTATGTCTAGCTGCCAGTGCAGTTTAGTGCTTTGGCCATTACTACTGGGTGAATGTTCTTTTCAACTTTGCAGTGGGTTGTCACGTGAAAATTAATTTTAAATGGATATGTTTTAAAATACTTAGCCTAAATAAACATCATCTTGAAGTTTAAAATTCTTTTCAAATCAAACCAAGTTTATAGTCATCCTATTGTAGAGCTTTTCTTTTAGGCATGCAGTAGCATGAGATAAGTATGAAGACTTTTCCTCAGAGGTGTGATCCCATTTTTGAAAATACCTAGTACATCCTTACCCTAGAAAAATTATAGGTCACTTCATTCCACTACTAATTTGTGAATAACTGAGAGAAAATTAGCCAGATAAAAATATTTGACCAGACTTCAGTAACACCAAAGTGTTGTAAAAATTAGGTAAGTGTCCTCTCTCTGGCTGAAATTGATACCCAAGGAAAGGTGTCTGAACAGGACAAGGATATATGATACTTAATGTGGGTACTTTCTATTCTCCAACCGTTTGCACTTTACAACATTCCTGAGCCAAATGTGATTTTAAGTGCTCCATGAATTTCTCCATTTTCTTTTGTAGTACAGTAAAATTTTGCTATTAAGTACCCTATATCAATTTAAATAAAGATTTGCCAGGAGTTTCACAGCTTTAACTATTTGGTATTTATTGTGTGGGGGTGTGTTTTTTTAAAACCTGTCTCCTGCTGGCTGAATTTCTGATACAAATGTTGTAAGTGACCAGCAGACTGCTAATCTTGATTTCACGCTTTCCATGCCACTCATGGTTTTATCTCTCTATTGCTTCTACCCTTAGTGCAGGCAAAAAACCGTAGTGATTTCTGTGCTAGTAATAAGGCGAACTCTGCTTTTCACCTTGCTTTAAGAACTGATTTATGCTAGTTTTCAAAAAAAAAAAAAAAAAAAAAATTTTTATTGTATTCCAATATCTATTTTTCTACAAACTTCTGTCATAATAAAAGCATTTGGGTACTTATTGATCAACAACAGATAGGATAAATTTAGCTGGCTTCTAGTGAATTCTGTTCAACCTTCTTTTTAATTCTTTTTTTTTTTTTTTTTTTTTTGTTTACCAAATATTTCTCTTTTTTTTTAAAGTAAAGTAACTAAGGAATTAGGAGGTGAAACATCCTAAAACACTCAGCATTAGTTAAACTTTTCAGGCATCTTTATTGTACATGTGATGGCATTCTTCTTCTCTAATGCTGGAAGTA